CACACACACACACACACACACATACACACACACACACCCACATCCACACCCACACACACAAACACACACACACACACACACCCATACACACAAACACAAATACACAGACAGAAGTTTCCCCTCCCCGTCCGCTCTCTCCTGTGTTATCGGATTTCACCTGAAGTTCTTGGTCCTATCACAGGGAGGGTTGACCTATACTGCAAGGTCTCGCGGTTACTTCCTTTTATTCCGCCTTATCAAACAGGGACAGGAGTGTCCGTCCATGTGTATGCTGAGACGCTCAAGCCTTTCTCTCGACAACACTGCACACTAGAACAGAACTGAGTTTTCGCAAAGGATTGCACAGTGGTGAACTCATGTAAGGAATTATTTCTCCATTTCTACAAGGAATTCTTCTTTCTGTTGTGTCTTCTTAAGTTTCAGAGAGAGAACGGTCGCCGATGGTAACGATCTGCGGCGTTTGGCGTAGAGCTACTCCCATTGTTTTTCCCCAGGTGAGAAATCTGTTCTTGATCTTTTGTTTCTGAGGGTGAGATTGAAAGGGTACTGTACTGCCAGTCATCTATTCCGCACTTACGACTGTGGGTGGTTTCGGGTGCTATTTGAAGATCTGGTTTCTCCTTTATCAACTCGTTTTATCTCTCTTCTGTCTAAGCTGTTACATGTATTCTTGTAAAAGATTGTTGTGGTGGCGATGATCGCGTGTTGAGCTCAAGCCAAAGACAAAACCAAACAAAGTAACAGACAAATGACAGAAACAAACAAATTAGAGAAACAAACACAGATTGTCCAGGCTGTGGCACAACTTATGATCCCACCGGCGGAATGGTGAGTGGTTGGCGGGTGCTCTGGTGTGGTTTGCTTCTTCTTTCCTATCAAACATCTATCGTCTTTATCTCCCCCTCCTTCTGTTTTATGTCTGTTACTCTCTTGTAACACCTCTAATCTTCGGCACTTATATGACCATATTGTGTTGCAAGTGCCGTAAAACTCTTTCTAAAACTAACTAAACAGAGCATACAAATGTCAGAACTAAATTCATAAATAAACAAACTACCTACTAATGGTAGAACTAAGCAAACAACAAACATGTGAGGACACTTAAGTCTGAGATGACAATTACATTTACCTATTATGATTTTCAGGGCACGTGAACCAGAATTA